CGCTCTCTGAGGTCAGCAGACCAGATGCTTCTCTCAGTCCCAGAAACTCGTCGTAAGCTCAGAGGTGACAGGGCTTTCTCTGTTGCAGGTCCACGACTGTGGAATGAGTTGCCACTGAGTGTCCGGCAGGCTCCCACACTCTCAGTCTTTAAGTCTCGCTTGAAGACCCACTTCTATTTGCTTGCCTTTAACACGGTGTGATTTGTTTTGGTCCGGTCTGTCCTCTACTCTGTTGGCCATTTTAGTTAGCTTCTGCTGCTATTTGTATCTGTATTTCTATTTTATGTTTTCCTGTCTGCTGTGCATGTTTGGTTCTTTTGTACAGCACTTTGGTTGGCCTTGTTGCTGTTTTAAGTGCTATATAAATAAATGGTATGGTATGGTATGGTACTTCAAGAGGAGCCAGTTGAGGTGGTTCAGGCATCTGGTAAATTGCCCCTAGATGCCTCCCTAGGGAGGTTTTTCTGGCCATGTCTAACTGGGAGACCACAGTGAAGACCCAGACCACACTGGGGAGATAATGTCTCTTGGTTGGCCTTTTAATCCTCCTATAAGAACTGGAAGAGGTGGTTGTGGAAAGAGATATAAAGGCCTCCCTGCTGAAGCTACAGGTCATGACCTGATTCCAGAACAAACCAAAGTTGACTGACTGACTGAAGGACAGACAGACAGACAGACAGACAGACAGGCAGGCAGGCAGGCAGGCAGACAGACAGACAGACAGGCAGGCAGACTGGTAGGTAGGTAGGTAAGGTAGAATGTTGGTAGATAGCTGAGAGCAATCCCCAACATGTTCATGTCTCCTGAAAAGTACAGAGCATTTTCTATACGGTAACTGTTTAACTGATAGTTAACTGTTGGTTTCTGTCAATTTTAATGAAACTCTCAGAAAGTAATCACTGAATGTACATTTTAAACATCAAAGTTCATGCTCAATAAAACAGGTAAAAATCCAAGAATGTTCAGTCAGGTCATCTGGATAGTTTCTTTCGTTGCCAAGATGTTTCGTCCTTCATCCAAAGGACTTCATCAATCTGAGGAGCCACAAACAAACTGAGTCCCACAAGCAGCACACTCACAGTTGAAAAACACAGTTTGCTGGTGATAAGATGGTTATGCTGAACATTGTTGGATTTTTACCTGGATTATTGAGCATGAACTTTGATGTTTTGAACCACTTTGACTATGGCTGCCTCAAAGAAGTCGACAGGGAAGAAGGACTCAATAAACCATCTTATCACCATCAAACTGGTTGACCCCCTATGTGAGTGGGCTCCTCGGACTGATGAAGTCCTTTGGATGGACGAAACATTTCAACAAAAAAGAAACTGTCCAGAGGATCTGACTTAAATGATGGAATGCATTTTATATTTTCTTAAGCTTTTTTTTTTTTTCCTTTTAATATCTCGATATGTTATTTTTTGTCTTAATGTCAACCTTTTTGTCTTTTCTGCTGTCTTCTTGCTTTTTCACTTTGGCACTCATTTTTAATTCTGCTTCATCTGCTGCTGCTTTTTTTTTTGTTCATAAATTTCAGCAAACGTTTAATGTTCAGCTAATAGTTAACTTCTTAAAGCAACTTTCAGCAGTTTTTCTACTTTGCTAAAACTTCCAACTATTCAGATTTAACTAGTATATTCTGCCCAGCTATTGAAATATTTCAAGTAAGCTTCAGCTTTCTGCAGCGGCTTCCAGCACTAAGCATTGACACTATTATTTTATACCTATAAAATAAAGGGTTGTGCTTACAAAGGAAGGTTTCACTTTTTTACTTTATTACTTAAATGTTTTGGTCACATTATACCTCAAAGGACCTGCTCTTTAAGTACTTAAAGACACTTATTTCACAAAAACTCTCATGGTGGTGTGTGAGAGGAACAAGTAAGAGTTCATCCTTTAGATCACTTTGGACTTGTTGAACAATTTGGTGTTTCCGTAGCAACAGTGGGAACCTTCCCATATCTCCATTTTGCTCATGTCCCACTTCATATTCCTAATGAAAGCTGGAGGCTTCGTATCAAACTTCAAGTCACAATGTTTAACTCTGTCAATCATTTCAAAATTTTTAAGGCTTACAAATGGAAAATAAAAATCCATAAACCTTTGCAGCAGATGTAATGGAAACTTTAATGCAAAAATGAACTTACTTCTTGATTTTCTGGGGACAATAAATGGTTTTCATAGCTCCCACAGAAAACTCATTACAGCACGCACTTTGTGTTTACATTTTTATACTTTTGTAAGACTTCTACACTTACTTTGGTTCTGTCAAGTCATTGAAAAAATAAATAAATGCATTAGTGTCCTTAAATGTAGACTTTCAGAGCTCCCAATAATAAACAGCTGGATTTGGATTAATGAGTCACTCAGTCTTTCTGAAGATCCTCCTCATCAGTCTGATTAAAGAGTTGTCTCTGAGAGCGTTGGACGTCCTCTCCCACAGACTCTCCGTCTTCCACAGACCCCGACCCTTCTTCTCAGCTTTCACCTCTGCCCTGTGGAGTCGTTTGTGAAGGCGCCAGTAGAGATCAGAGCCAGGCGGGACTCCTGCAATGGGCGCAGTGCGAGCCAGACCCAGTCTGAGGAGCTCTTCGTTGGTACAGAAGCTCCACACTGACCTCTGTTGGAGACATGAGAGCAGACTGGGAGATAAAAAGCTTGTCTCTTGGTTATACATTAACAGAGCGGGGAATTTGCATCATTTCTTCTGGTCTCAGAAGTCCTTACCTTACTCTGAGACACCAAACAGTTCAGTGCGTCGTCCTCTCGGCTGATAAGTTTCAGCCACACCGTCTGGGCCGGCGTCAGGTTCTTCAGCAGCCATAACTTCCCCTCTGGTGTCAGATTGACCCCTACGAGGCGCACCAGCAACAAAGATGTGCAGGCATCTGAAAAGAACCCACAACCGTGAATTTATTATTGTAGTAAGTCAGAATTTGAGCTGACCTGTGACATTTTCACCTCAACTGCATGAATGTTACATGGACTGTACTTATGTAGTGCCTTTCTATCTAATCAAGATACTCAAAGCTCTTTACAACCTGTGCCCTCATTTACCTCCACACACATTCATGCAGCACTCTAAATATCTACAAAGTAGAGAATGGCATTTTTTCAGGAATCCTGCAAGTCACAAGATTCCCGCAGGACTCCGGCAGGACAGGAGTCAACTTTAATATAACTCCCATGACTGGGATGGGACAGGACGAAAAGTTAACAGGACCAGACAGGAGCAGGAACCAATCAATAGGACAAAAACGAAAAGAAAATACTTTGGACAGGCACCTCTATTTTGTAGTTTTCTTTCAATAAGCCTTCACTTTGGAATACTAGACCTGCAATGCTCTAGTCTGTAAATGATGCTCTGAAGTCTGGTAAGTCTACCTACTGTATTATGAACTTCTTGAGGACGTTGTCCAATGGATAAGAATGCCTTTAAGCATTTTTATTGTAGTGGACTAGGCCCATGTCAAAAACTAAGTCTAAGGTCAAAAATCTTGACCTTAAGAACCTTGTGGGACAGGGACTGTCATTTCATTGATTTGAACTCAGAAATACAGGTTCACCCATCCTGAGACTTTCTTTCTTGAAGATTCAAGTGAAAAGAACACTCTCTTTTTATTATCATTACTATTTTTCAAATGTTGATAATCAAAGTGTCTTAGTTCAAACCATTTTAGATGTGGCAGTGAACTAATCAATTTTATTAACTGTGTAATGATTTTTATTCTCATGCAAAGTAGAACTCATGTCAAAGCTGTTACAGAGTAATTATGCCTTTTCTGATTTCTGCTTTTGAATGAGCAAGTGTAAGTTGGTCCAAGGTTGGAGTCAAACGCAAAACAAGTTGTTATGTTAAAACTGTCATGTTTTTAGAATCCTCTCAGACGTAATATAGAGGTTTTTGGCACCTGTTTCTGAAACGCGCCAAAACAAAACTCTCTCTGTCTGTGAGAACATTTCTGATCTTTCCATAACAATTCTTGTTTTTCGTCTAACCTCTTACGTCACAAAACACACCCCGTCTGGTTGTTTCTGTCCAATGGGGATACTCCCAAAAGTGAACCGGAAACGGCTCTTTAAAATGTCAGTACTTCCTGGTCTACTCAGTTCTGTAAGAGTTCTGTTAGAAGTTCGGTGGAAGTTCTGCTAGAGAGTTCTGATGGAGTGCTGTTGGAGTTCTGCTGGATACACAGTCCAACCAGTTCTGTTGAAGCTCTGGAGAAGTTCTGTTCTGTTCAGTCTCTGCTCAGTTCTGTGAGAGACGGGATGATCCTGACATGACAACAAGCTCTTCCGAGTTCCATGGGAGTATAACACCTTTCACTCGCCACTACTTCTGACGAGCTACAGCCATACTAAGGAGACGCTGGACAGGTAGCGTTAACGGAACACCATATCTGCTGATTATCATCAGAAAGGTAATGGGTCAAGTTTCCTACCAAGCGTACCGAGGCGAGCTGGGTTTCTGATGGAGAGTGCCGTTCTGGTGAACACTTACTTCCCCTCAAACCCCATCTTTTACTCTTCTCTAAACTTCTTTTCATCTTTAAACTTTTCTCTCAAGTAGAAATTCTTCCAGATATTTTAGAAATGTCTGTGTAAAATGCTCACCCACATCCATGTGGGTAAAAGATCATAATTGTACAGTTTTCATAAATGTCTGTGGTGAAGCAACGGAAAAATCATGGCCGTATGATTTTTCCTGATTGATTGCTTATGTTGTTATTTTCATAATTTGCCAAATTAATGTAAATGTTTGATGTTAAGCTTTGATTCTGTAAATAAATGACCGCATTCATTTTGATGGGTCAAACGTAAATGACGTCTCACGTTTGCATTTCCTTAAATTCAATGCACGTTTTATTCAGTCCAGAAAAATGAGGAATCCGTGTTAAATGATGAATATATCTGAGCATCTGTTCATCTACATTATTCATTGAGTTCTCTTGCTTGGCACTTTTTTCCCTATTTTTTGTTTTGTTTAAGCAATTTGAAACATGACAGTAATGTCACTGTTTAAAGGAAACAATTGCTCAGTAAGTTTGTACAATGCAACTTTATATGTTATGTTTGGGTTCATGTTGTGACCATACTCTTGTTTTTTGAGGTTTTGTTTTTACTGTAACTGACCTCCAAAAGAGTTAGAAAAGGACTCAGCAGCTGATTCTCCGTGGGAAAAACTATAGGAACCACACATTTTCATACTAAGAAACTGGTTTGTTGTTACCTACCTGGATTATTGAGCTTACAAACCATTTTTAAAGGGACTACAGGACATGTATTATTTGTTTTGTGACCTTTAATGAAGGTTTTTGTTTGGATTAAGGCAATAAATGCTTCCCTACTTCACCACAGATGAACTGTTCCTGTTGCCATACCTTTTGAAATAAAATTGCAGAACACAAAAAGTAATATAAAAAGGAAAGGGTAGAAGATTTAATCAAATTCAACGTATTTCCTAAAGACTAAATAAAAGAGGGGAAAAAAAATGGGAGCAGTACAGGAGTGGGAGTCATTCTGAATGGGAGCAGGAGTCAAGTTACCAGGAGTGGGATCAGGACAGGACAGGAGTGAAAATGCACTCCCGTGTCATCCTCTACAAAGCTAATCTGAATCTGTAGAAACTAATCAGAGCTTTGTTACATTCATACACCGATGGGACACACTTCGGAGTCAATGAAGGGTTCAGCGTCTTGCCCAGGGACACGTCGGCATGTGATTGCTGGTGGAATCGAACCTCCAGCTCTCCCACTGGAGGACGACTGCTCTAACCACTCAGCCACAGCTGCCCCAAGCTGCATGAAAAGGAATATTTATGTTGTCTAAAAATTAAAGAAACAAATAAATGAATAAAAAACAACTATGGGCAATTTTGCAGCTGAATAATGGTATCTGGCACAAAGGACCAATTTCTTTGACAAGACTACAATAAGTGGAATTTTCAATTCCCAAACATTAAAAAACAACATAAATTAGTGCCCTAGCACTCCATGAAGGAATACATTTCTCACACCGTCTTTCTTGCCAGAGTTTTAAACTAAGATCATATTATTTTGAAAAATGTCAGGAGTTTTAACAGTTTTGGTAAAATATAAATTAAAGATATGCAGAATGTCACACTATTCCAAGATGTTGCAAGATCCATTAGTGCTCAGAGTGTGCGTTGGGCAGTGGAGGGCACAGTTTCGCTAATCTGATGATAGCTAATAGTGGAACTAAATTTTCGTTGAGCAGATTATCATTTTCGCTAACTTTGAAAGCCATTATCGTAATTACCGTAGCTGCTTCTTCTGTTTTTTTTTTGTTTTTTTTGGAATTAGCTTCTGCTAAATTAAGTTTTGCCACCTTTAAGTCTACTAACCAAATTCACAAGCTTGTTCTCGTCTGTTGCGGGCGTGTTTTGAAGCGTCTATTAAGCATGCAGTTGGTTTACAATAGTGTAACAATATGCAATATCGGTGTACACAAGACAAGATGTGATTGGTCGACACAACTTCAAATATAAACCGGATTCCAAAAAAGTTGGGACACTAAACAAATTGTGAATAAAAACTGAATGCAATGATGTAGAGGTGACAACATCTAATATTTTATTCAGAATAGAACACAAATCACAGATCAAAAGTTTAAACTGAGAGAATGTATCATTTTAAGGGAAAAATCTGTTGTTTCCAAATTTCATGGCGTCAACAAATCTCAAAAAAGTTGGGACAAGTCCATTTTTACCACTGTGTGGCATCCCCCCTTCTTCTTACAACACTCAACAGACGTCTGGGGACAGAGGAGACCAGTTTCTCAAGTTTAGAAATAGGAATGCTCTCCCATTCATGTCTAATACAAGCCTCTAACTGTTAAATCGTCTTGGGCCTTCTTTGTCGCACCTTCCTCTTTATGATGCGCCAAATGTTCTCTATAGGTGAAAGATCTGGACTGCAGGCTGGCCCTTTCAGTACCCGGAACCTTCTCCTACGTAGCCATGATGTTGTGATTGCAGCAGAACGTGGTCTGGCATTATCGTGTTGAAAAATGTAGGATCTTCCCTGAAAGAGATGACGTCTAGATGGGAGCATATGTTGTTCTAGAACCTGAACATAGTTCTCTGCATTAATGGTGCCTTTCCAGACATGCAAGCTGCCCATGCCACAAGCGCTCATGCAATCCCATAACATCAGTGATGCAGGCTTCTGAACGGAGCGTAGATAACAACTTGGGCTATCCTTGTCCTCTCTGGTCCGGATGACATGGCGTCCCAGTGTTCCATAAAGAACTTCAAATCGTGACTCATCTGACCACAGAACAGTCTTCCATTTTGCCACACTCCATTTTAAATGACCCCTGGCCCAGTGCAAACGTCTGAGCTTGTGGAGCTTGCTTAGAAATGGCTTCCTCTTTGCACTGTCGAGTTTCAGCTGGCAACGGCGGATGGCACGGTGGATTGTGTTCACTGACAATGCTTTCTGGAAGTATTCCTGAGCCCATTCTGTTATTTCCTTGACAGTGGCATTCCTGTTTGAGGTGCAGTGACGTTTAAGGGCCCGGAGATCACGAGCATCCAGTAGAGTTTTACGGCCTTGACCCTTACGCACAGCGATTGTTCCAGATTCTCTGAATCTTTTGATGATGTTATGCACGGTTGATGATGATAACTTAAAAGTCTTTGCTATATTACGCTGGGTAACACCATTCTGGTATTGCTGCATTATCTTTCTGTGCAACAATGGTGGAATTGGTGATCCTCTTACCATCTTGGCTTCTGAGAGACACTGACACTCTGAGAAGCTCTTTTTATACCCAATCATGTTGTAAATTGACCTAATTAGTGTTAACTGGTCTTCCAGCTGTTCATTATATGCTCAATTTCCTTTTTCCAGCCACTTATTGCTACTTGTCCCAACTTTTTTGGGATTTGTTGACACTGTGAAATTTTGAATCAACATTTTTCCTTTAAAATGTTACCTTTACTTAGATTAAACTTTTGATCTGTCATCTATGTTATATTACGAATAAAATATTGACATTTGCCATCTCCACATCATTGCGTTCAGTTTTTATTCACAATTTGTTTAGTGTCCCAACTTTTTTGGAATCCGGTTTGTAGAAGGAGACAAACATGTGTGACGCAGACTGAGTGACAGTCGTCTTAATTTTTTAGTTTGCGGAACATGGATTAGAAAAGCTTTAGCAAAGTTTAGCAAAGTTAGCAAAGTTTTGGTTAGCTGTGCCCACCACCAGTGTTGGGAATGACTCTCTGCTACTGCCACATCAAATATTAGCTCAATATCTGTAAAACTGATTAAGTTAAAGACATTTTTGTGTTTTCTAAGGCTAATTGGCTGCGGCAGCCATCTTAATTTTTTTACTTCTTGTTGTAATCATTTGTAAATGTGCTACATTCAATTTTTTTTTTTTCATTTAGCCTTTATTTATCCAGGTTAGTCTCATTGAGCCACGAGAACTCATTTTCAAGAGAGGCCTGTTTAGGGAGCACATGGTGGGGTTAAGGGCCTTGCTCATGGGCCCAGAGTGGGGCGAATGAGGGTGGGGGCAAGTGTGGGTGTTTCACCTACCCCACCCACAATTTTTGATGTTGTCGGGGCCGGGGCGTGAACCGGCGATCTTCGGATCACAAGCCCACCTCTCTAACCTCTGCGCCACCACTCCCCACCAAATTCAATAAATTCAATAAATACATTCAATAAATCCAAAAAAAGTTGTTTTGCTTTTTGACCTTTATTTTTATGTCTTTACCGTATCCAGCATGACTGAGCATCTTCACAAACAGCTAACATAACACAATTTTTAAAAATTGGATTTAAAAAAATAAATATTGTTAAAATACCCCAATTTTCAAAAAATCTTTATCTCTGATGTGGGTTTTTTTTCCCAGCAAGATCTGTGTCTAATGTTTTATTATTATATAATGAGAGCCCCCCAAAAAATATAAAAATACATCATATTTGGTTTCAAATTAAATGACAAGCAAATGGGATATTACTTTTTAAAAACTGACTATTTGAATGTTAATGGAAAGTTCATATTAATTTGATTAGTGTAAAATAATCCAGTGACTGTCATGCTGCATTAAGATTTACTTTGATAAGTTCAAATCAATTCATTGAATTAAAACAATTAATATCCATCCATTATTTTTATCTGCTCCTTCCATTTCAGGTCACTGGTGCCCATATCCAGCAGTCACTGTGCGAGAGGCAGGGGACACCCTGGACAGGTCTCCAGTCCATCACAGGGACACAATGAGACAACCATTCACACTCTCACTCACACCTAGAGACAATTTTAGTTTATTAATTTGCCTAAAATGCATGTTTTTGAGATAAAAAGTGCAAACTCCACCCAGAAAAGACCCAGCCAGGATTCAATCCAGCAACCTTGTCGCTGAGAGGCGACAGCTCTATCAACTGTGCCATCATTAACAGAACAAGATCAAACACACACACAGCACACACACTTTACCTTTGTGCTTTGATAGTAATGAAGAGAAAACGGGCAGATAAATTGGAACATGCTCCACTTTGATTCCCTCCTCTGTGATGGAATGAACTTTCCCACGAAGGCTGACGTTCCTCTCAAAGAAACGAGCAGGAATCTCGTGCACCGTTTGAAATTTTGTGATCTGGAGAAAGAAAACAATCATCTGGATCAAATGTGTGAAAATGTTTTAACACACTGAATGCTTCACTTTATAAGCAATGTTTGACTAATTATTACTAATTTAAGCTATGTGAGATATTGGTGATTTTGTTATATATATCACCTGCAGTCGATGGCAAATGCGGAACAAAACTGTTTTTACTTGTATCAGTATTGTCTGCACTGTTAGCCAAACATAATTAATGAACAAATTTTACAAATACTTTTAGAATGTAATCATTGGGTGTCAGTGGCGATTTTAGCCTCTTTTCGGGGTGCTTAAGCACCCCTAAATTTTAACTCAGCACCCCTGAAAAATAAAGTTAAAAAAAAGGGTTTTTTGTTTGTTTATTTTGGGGCAGTTCTGGGTTTTGTTCTGTTTATTGCATTTATGATTCAATGCAACAAAATAAACAAATTTAAAAGGTAACAGATCATTGTAATACTTGGTTTATTTACATAATGACTTTAATCGCTGGATGTCTGACCCTGGAGCTGCTGACTTTCAGTAACTGTGGCCCCCTTTAGAGGGTGGAATACAGTTTATTCCATTTCCAAAACCTCAACTGAGTTTGGAAAAAAGTAAAATAAGGATAAAGCTCTGCGGCCGACATCATCAGCAGCTGAATATAATAATATAATAATAACCTGATGCATGCTCAATAATCCAGGTAGAAAAATCCAAAAAAGTTCAATCTGGTCCTCTGGACATTCAAAAAAA